GATCTCTGCAGAACACAGCCGAATCGAAATTGTGGTATTTACCTAGCCCCAGCATCCATTCATTAATGCCCAAAAGAACTGAACAATTACCAAGACTCGAATTGGCTTTCAAGCAGAAGAAAGCAGCAAGGATCTTAAAACGAATATATATCATTTATTAACTTTGTTCATACGAGCTGGAAAAGATAACTATATCTGCTCTTAGGGAGTTACTTGGGGGAATTACGAATGTCAAGAAGAAGAAACCAGCAAGGCTCATAAACTTAACAGATCTTGTTATCAGTGTTCATGCGAGCTGGAAAGGAGGTTCTCCTTTCTTTCAAATCTATTGCTTCTATTAGGGATTTACTTGGGGAAATTTGGAATAAGTGAAACTCGCAACTATTGTTGTTAAGACCAACAATATTTCCTTTACGTTCAAAGAATCCTTTTCCAGATATACAAAATAGGTGTTTCCTAGGGGTATTGTCATATAAAAATTAAATGCAAACTTTACAAGCGACATAGTCCTCCCCGTAAAGATCTCTTTTGAACATTTCGCATAATACATGATCTGATGATATATAAAAGTAGTCTTAACTTCTCTCTCTTTGGGAGTCAGCACGTATTTGGCTAAATCAATTGCAATTGCAAGAAATCTTCGTCTTTTTACTATTATATTTCTCTTTGTTCTCAAATTAAAGCTTTGATTCTGGCACACATCCATCGAGCACAGCCGATGCGCTCATCGAGCCACTGAGGTGAGTTGCAAGTGGCGAAAGCTGCGAGCGAAGCTTTAAGTACAGTTATTGATTTGCCAAACGTTATGTTATGTTTCTTAATTCACCTCCTTGCACTTTGTGCTCTCCTGCAGGGTCTCGCCGATGATACGTGAGTTTGTGCAATCGATCGACGATCGGGAATGGCAGACGCAGCTCTTTGCGCTGCTGCAGAAGCAGACGTACAACCAGGTGGAAGTGGATCTCTTTGAGTTAATGTGCAAAGTGCTGGATCAGAATCTGTTCTCGCAAGTGGACTGGGCAAGAAACACCGTCTTCTTTAAGGACCTCAAGGTATGCACCGCGCCCTCTCTTCCTGCTCTTCCTACCAAACATACAACACGCTAGCTTGTATTTATTTACTTACAACAACAACTACGAGCGCAGCCAGTCTAACAGCCACAACCAGTTTTAAAGCTAGGGGCCAAGTCTGCGGAGCATTATGTAAAACCAAAAAAAGCAACAATGCAGCGGCAGCGATCCGACCGCGACCGCTACTGCGACGCCGACTGCGACAGCGACTGCGATGTCGGGTACCCAAATCTGCATTGAATTTCGATTTCATTTGGCGTCTGACCTACTTAACAACCAAAGCTGAACCAGTCAGACGCAGACCAAGCGCCGATGACAACAACCGAGACGCGCCGCGTCGTCGACGTCGGCGTCGACGTTGCTCGTCAGTGACGCAACTAAGCGACGCTGCGCTCAGACAGCAGCAGAGCGTGTGTGTACGAGAGAGGGAGAGAGAGAGCGCGTGTTAAAATCAAGCTACACTCAGAAAAAAGCTTTGTCGTCGACACGTTTCAAATACCCTGTATTTAAGAGATGAAAGGAGACATTGATCCACTACAATTTATGCCTGTTTATATCCAGCCCCGTCTTAACATCTAGATATTGAGAATTATAAGAACTAAAGACATAAAATTGGGCATTTAGTTTCTTGTACGCAACAAGCAGATCATATTCATGTTTAATAACTGGTAACTCCTTCCGTTTCGCCTTAAACCAGATTCTCAGCAACGGATTGACTGATATCTGAGATTTGTTTGCGCTTAGCTTAGTCATCCTTTATTCACTTTGTGCATTCCTTTAACTTTTTGCAGGTGGACGATCAGATGAAGCTGCTTCAGCACTCGTGGTCGGACATGCTCGTGCTGGATCATCTGCATCATCGCATACACAACGGCCTGCCGGACGAGACGCAGCTGAATAACGGGCAGGTCTTCAACCTGATGAGCCTCGGCCTGTTGGGTGTGCCACAGCTGGGCGACTACTTCAACGAGTTGCAAAATAAGCTGCAGGACCTGAAGTTCGATATGGGCGACTATGTGTGCATGAAATTCCTAATACTTTTAAATCCAGGTGAGTATTTAGTAGAAACGACTACCGTTTGGGTCTGCCATGCAACAAAATGCTGTCTCTTGCAGATGTGCGTGGAATCGTGAACAAGAAGACCGTCGTGGAGGGTCACGAGAATGTGCAGGCTGCGCTGCTGGATTATACACTGACGTGTTATCCCTCGGTTAATGTAAGTAGGATGTTTGGAACGTCCAGTTCACTTAATAACCTTTCCCTTTTGCTATTGCAGGACAAATTCAGGAGGCTTTTGAACATACTACCGGAAATTCACGCCATGGCCGCACGGGGCGAGGAGCACCTGTACTCAAAGCACTGTGCCGGCAGTGCGCCCACGCAGACGCTGCTTATGGAGATGCTGCATGCCAAGCGGAAAGTGTAAGCGGAGCGCATTTCCAGGAATAAACAAAACAACAAAACAGATAACAAACAACAACAGAAAGCAAATGAAAAAAAGAATACTTAAACATTTTATGAAATATATGTAAATAACAAAAACAAAAGCAAACAAGCGCAAAGTTTAAAAACAAACAAACCAACCAATTAAGTCTTGATTGCTACGCGAAGAACATGAATTTTACATATATATATATATATATATAAATATATAAACATAAAAAGGATATATGTAAATATGTATGCATAAGGAAGAATGATCATCACTACCACCAACAACCAACTACCACATACACACATTTGTTGATTCAATGTTAATTATTATTATGTTTATGACTAGCTTTACCGTATGTTTAACTAATTGATTAATTTGTCTTCGTTTAAGTTGTGTTTACTTTTAGTCATGTCTCTTCTGAAAAATCTGTTCAGAATATTCAAATTCAGCTTAAATTGTGGAAAGTGCAAAAATACCTTTCTTTAGAACGTAAAGAGCATAACAAATTTTATTTTATATAAATCTATACACACACACACACTCAAATATATATATAGCATGATTATATATATATATATATAGGGTAACCCTCCATCCCGCTCTCCCCTCGACAAATTTTAACAGACTTCCTTTTTTTTATAAATGTTTTTCCTTTTATTATTCGCGCCAATTGTCTTACATAGTATTTGCGTCTACTTTAAACAAAATCAGAGAACATTATTAAAACAAAATTTGTCATCTATATGTATAACAAATCAATTAATAATTGTACATTTTTTGTTTAAGTTTAAAGTTTAAGTAACTATCCAAGCAACTACCTGCAACACAGGAAACAACAATAACAAAAATCGAAAGCCAGAGCATGAAATTCTCTTTAAAAAAAAAACAAAAAGAAAATAAAAATTAACAACAACAATGATTAGATATTATAAATAATTATAAACATATATCGCATAAGTTTACAAACAAATTTCGAAATGATTATAATTTTATTGTTTAAATGTTAAATGTGTAAAGCTGCTTATTTCTAAAAGAATTCAAAAATATGTTGTATTTTATTTCTGAGTAACAAACAAAATTAAAGTTTTTTTTTTTGAAGCAACAAATATGCCTTTGCATATAGCCCTTAGGCGTTACAGTTAATAATCTTTACGCAAACATGCCAAATGCAAAGTAATTCAATTGGAGAATAATTTTCTGTTTTCTTCTCTTTTTTATGATTTTTTGTTAAAACCCGATGTTCGAACCGATTTCTCTTACTTACGCCTAAAAAACAACATCATCAACCGATTTTTTTTAATCCCATGAGTATGTCTATAAATCTTTTAAATGCGTTGCATTAAAGTATATTCTCTCTAAAAAGGTATTTAATTAATTAAATTCGTAAAGGGCTAAAACAATAATCGATGAATCAACCAAGAAATACTTTTCAAAATTATAAGAAAAAACTTTAGGCAAAGCCAGAAGTAGGCGAGAAGTAGGCAAGAAATTTGAAATGTTTTATAAATTTTTGGCAAATATTTAAGGCGCTTGTTTGGCCTTGGTTCGAATATTTTTCCCATTTATGTAAATAACAATTAGCTTATGTTTTTGTATATTTATTGAAATATGTTTGTTTTTCTTTTTTTTCCACCTGCCTACTTAATTTGTTATGAAGCCCCCGACTTTTGACTTGGTATTGCGCTTAAACTAAATGTACCTTATAAAATTAACAAAATAAACCCCCACACGAATACATTAATTGCAGTACATTTTAAATCTTTTAAGGCAACATTAAATTTAGAAATGGTTGGAAAACAAAATCTATGAATGTTATGAGGATTTAAGCAGCGAGTTAAAGAAAGGTATAAGGAGAAAAGACCTTGTAGGTTGCCTAGTTATACATCATAAATAAATATATTTAGATTTTTAGACGTTTATGCAACTCCTGTATGTATTGTAAAATAGATAAAATCTAAATGGAAACATTTCAAATGGGTTAGAATGAAATCTAAGAGTAATTAAATGAGCATAGGTTGGCTTAGAGTAAGATTTAAGCAGCGTTAAAGATACGTTAAAGGATATGCTATATATATATATATATATATATATGTATGCATGTATCATATATGGCATATACATAGATATATATAGATATGTATATATGCGCTGTGCATTGGCGTTCAACGTAAGTGGCAGCATGTTTTTTAAAACTCGTTTAAAGAAAATGTATATTCTATATCTAAAGTATGGGGCATACTGTGCGGTTCTGCATGAAGTAAAAATGTGTAATGGGTCTTATTTTATAGGCATAGGCAATGGCGTAAGGCATGTTTATTGTAAAGTTAATTACGATGTGAACCTGTTATTGCAAATGAAAAGTGATTTTAATTTTTAAGCAAGTATAATAAAAACAAACAAAAAAAAAACAGAAAAAAAATATATATAAAAAATAATATATAACTATATTATATACATATATATATATATATAAAAAAAAGAAGAAAAAATAACAAATATAAATCAAAGTTATATGTGCATTGAAGCTTAATAAGTATATTGCAAGAACACCACAAACACACACACACACACACACACACACACCTGTTGTAAGTTTTAAATTTGTTCGAAGCAAGCAAACAGCGTTAAGCAAATCATTTAACTAGACAGAAAACAAAACTACCTAAACAAAAAAAAAAAAACAAAACAAAACTATATGCATAATTATGTTTATTATTACTACGTTAACATAAAAATGTCATCTCAGAGATGTTTGAAACGAGCAACCAACCAACCAACAACAAACAAATGTAATAAAACGTAAATATATAAAAAAAAAAAGGAAAGTAATTGAAATTCTCTATTGATGTAAGGAAGCATAAATTTGAGTATGCCGCAGCGATTGCTTTTATTATACGTTTACTATACGTTGTTTAGGTATAATTAATGCATAATTTATTTGTTATATTGCTCTCAAATTGAACTTAAAATTGTCCCGTTTAGGACATGTTAAAATTCTGCGTAAAATCGTATTCAATTGTTGGTATGACGGTTTGCACAAATTTCAAGAATATAATTAAATATAAATGCACGCCCAGCTGGCCGCCGCCCTCCTCCACGGTCTGGATGATCTTCTTCATAATATCTGCATGGCGGCACGGATGGACCGATGCCATATTGGGCCCAGGCAAATGCGGATGCGACTCCATTGTAACAGTCTTTTTGGCATGATCCTGGGAAACATCCTCGTACATTTGCTCAACGTTAAGCGGCTTGCGCTGCTCATCATAGCCGACGACCCATAATCGCGGTGTCTGGTAGTATTTATCGTATGTGATGTGCAGATCATAGGTTCGCGTGTGCAGCACGGAGTCGCCGCTGCTGGCGGTCTCTCCTGCAGCAGCTGCAGCTCCAGCTGGGTTGCTGGGCTGCGTTTCGGCGTCTAGCTTGCGCGTGGTGGTGGCCACGGCGGGATCGACAAGCTCCAGCATGCCGCTCTCCTCAAATGCATCCATGTCAATGGCTTCATCATCATCCTCATTATCATCATTTGGCGCCGGAGTCGCCGGCGACGTCTTGTCGCTATCGGGCGTGTGCATTTCGTCCTTAAAGATAAAACGAAAGTCTTCACCTAATAATGGTTCGTTTGTCAATATAATCAAACCTTGCTCTCATCCAGCGTCAGTTCGCATATCTTCTCATCGATTTGATTGGTGCCGTCATCGTTTAATTGATGCGTCTCCACCCAGCCGCCGTCGCCAGACTCCTCCTCCACCAGCGTCTCCTCGCCCACATACTCCATTTGTTTGCAGCGGCGATAGCACGGCACATTTCGTGTTATCAGAAACTGTTTATCTGCATTTGAATTGGCTGTGGTAAGTTTAATTAATTAATATTAGTTTCTAGTTTTTTTACCCTTTGGCAAGTACGGCTTTGTTTTGCTTTCATCGCCCGCCGCCCACTGCCAAGTGGGACAATGGTGGACTAAGTGGTCACCAGCTGCCACAAATTCCTCTGGTGTTAGTACGCCAGTTTCGCGAAATTTCGACTCCTAATCAAAAATGAATTAGTTATAAATTAATTACAAAAGCGTCGCCACTCAAACCCCGCCCGAGCGACAGATAGAGAAAACAAATGAATTGATAAGACAGAACGCACAGTAGAAAATTGAATTCATGCATCAATATTTCAAGTGAATGCGGTCACAAACAAATTATAATCAAACAATAAAGTTAAAGTCGTAGAAAAACTCTTTAATCCTCCTCCCACTCTATCAACTCGCGTCTTTAATGAGTACCAAAAGCCAATACTTGCCTTTAAAACAGGAGTTAAATATTCTGCTACATTGAGCGCTGTGCCTTTAACTGTGTTCAGCACGCTTTGCATTGTTGTTGATTTAAGTATTTGCTTAGATTTTAAGACTACGCTAAACCCTAATGCGTTGTATATATGAATGACTGCACACCTGCACTTTCTTCTTGGTGTCTATGCGGGCACGCTATGCAACACTGTTGTCAACTCCCAACAGCTGTTTGAAGTGCTGCATAGAGTCAAAAATGTAACTATCGATATTTTATATCGCGTGCGCATGTCGTGACTATTTAATCCGATGGAGTTTGTGCAGTTTATTAAATTCATAATTTAAACAAGCAAATGCAAGCCGCAGCTCTCTATTGTTTAGTGTAAGTTGTACTCAGTGGTGGTTCTATCAATTGTCTTGTTTTAAAGTTAGTTAATTTACTTTCCCCATTTACATTAACAGTGGTTCAATAATGACTTGCATGATGGCTGCAATTTAAGCTGTTCATTTGGTGCCAGTTGGCGGCTACTGGATTCAATTTCGAGAGTAATTCGCCGCCGTATGCTGTTGTAAGTATTTGCCAGGCATTTCAATTAGCAAATCATTTGTTTGAGTTACTAAAATTACGAATGGGCTAGCAACCTTTCTGTCGAGGTATATTTGTGAGCCTCACAAGGCAATACATACATACACATGTGCATGTATAGACTCGTATATAACTGTAAAGTCGTTGCCTAAATATCTTTTGACAAAACAGTTGTTATTCTTGTTAACGTTTCAAACAATAATTATAGTTTGCTATTTTGCAAGCATGTAGTATTTTTTTATTAAGTTTCAGCTGCAATTCCTCTATGTTCTAAGAGCTCGATCATGTTTTAGTCCGTCCGCTTTAAGCCACTGTCACTTCTCCTCGAAATAGGCTCATCTGCATTTTAAACTTAATTAGATAGATAATTATTTGATTCTTAAGACTTGAAATGTAGAAAGCATGTAACGTTAATTCATATTGAAATAACATTAGAATGCGCGTAAACGCCAAGTGTGGCCGAAAAATGTTTCTTGAAAGGGTCACACTACCAGCTGAACTTTTTTGACCATAGTTTACTTTACTTTTTGGTCACACTGCACTTTTGGAGCAGCTGTGAACATGTGATTGACGAAATATAAATCACTTTCGGGAATCTCGCTAATATTTTCTAATGCTGCTGACAGTGGTACGATAACTTTGAACATTTTGTGTTTTCAGTGTCTTGGGTAACGAGTCGTTACCTTTAACAAGTAACGGAAATACACTCTTCCCTACGTCGCATGTTTTTTTTAACTGTAAAACGAAATGGAGCCAAAATTTTCGTTGCCTTCGCCAAATTTCAATAAAAAATCACATGAACCCACCAAGAATAACTTGCATTACCTAACTCCATGTGGTATGACTCTGCTTCCACGTGCGAAACAGCCGCCTCCCATGTATGGACCGCGTGGGAGCACAGTGCCCCCAAAGTTTTTCAAATTGGAGAATCAACAGGTAATACAAACAATTTACTTAGATAAAACAAGATAATAATCCGGCTATGTTCACAGAACAGCAATGAAGCACAATCAGTTTCAAGCAGAGCGCCGCCGAGAACCGAATACTGTGCCAACTGCAGCATGGAGTTGGCTACGGCGCAAGACATGAGACTGCATTTGGAGCAGCATGAGCAATGTCCTTCCGAGGATTGCAGCTTTGCAGCCATGACCAGCATTTTGGAGCAGCATATTGAGGCAAATCACATAACGGGCTTGTACAAAACCGTAAAAAAGGTTTGGACGCCTGAGGACGTTGCCGCCTGGCGTGCGGAACGTTGCAAGAGGTACATATTAAAGTACAATTAAGTGAATGATTAAAATTTAATATTTGATTGCAACGCAGATTTCCAACTGCGGCCAATGTGGAGATTGCCAAACAGGCCAAGGAGCAGCGCTTGAAACGCGGCGAGCGCCTTGAGGCATCTAAGACCCGCTTCGGTAAGCCGGAGGACCGGCGACGCACGCGTCCACAAACCAATAACAGGGATCATCCAAAGAAAACAAACAAGCCCAGAAACAAAAGTAATACTCAGGTAGCACGAATAGAGCCTCAGAAGCCGCAGACGAGTCCTGTAACCACCGAAAAACATATTGCTGTAGGTACTATAGGCCTACGTTCAATCTGCTCGTCCACGTTTCGCGGAACAAGTAAAATGACAGATTACAAGCATGTTAAGACAAAGGAGAAAGACAAGGTGAATGCATTGAGCAGTATGCTGGGCATGTATGGAACAGACAGCGAGAATGAAGATGAAACGTCGGACGCCGATAATAGTGATGAGATTGATTTTTCACCAGTATCTCGGGTAGAACCTAAGACAGGTGTAGACACAATAGTCGAGCTAGGAAAGGATGTGCAGTCCATAGATATGCCTGCGCTAAAATGCCCTGCAATGCCTCTGGTTGATATTGAAACAAAACCGCCCTCGGAAAATGGCTCAGGCTCTTGCGACGAAGCACCAGAGGAATTGCCCATTGAGCGGAAAACTGAAACAGATTCAGCTCCCAGCACAACAAAAGAACAGATTAATCCAAAAGCAACTGAAAAGTGCAAATCGAATACTGTTTCAAATGTTAAGCGTCCCGCACCAAAGAAAGTACACTCAGGTTTAAATTACAAGCGAGCGCGTCGCGTAAGTCACCAGAACACGATGCTGTCCAAGCTGCTGGCACCCGATATACGTCACGAGCGGAATGTTTTGCTGCAATGTGTGCGGTACGTGTGTGAGCAGAACTTCTTTGGCATCGGGAAAAGCGGGCTCGTACCGGATTTAAGGTAACAGCAAAACAGATTATTAAAAACGTAACTTAAGTTTAATGCGTACAAAAAATATCCTTAACTTAATTGGAATACGTTATCAGTTCGGTGGCAGACCACCGCCCAATTCGGCGGCTATGCTGGCTGCATTACTGCCACTAGCCGTATTACCGCTGCCTGCTCCAGCGCCATCAGCTGAGGCTCCCGAGCCGCAGACGCCGCCGCCGGCTGCCTGTTGCTGTTGTTGTTGAGCTGCGGCTGCAGCTGCCTGCTGTTGTTGTTGTTGCTGTGCGGCAGCGTGTTCCTGCTGTCGTTTCTGTTGCTGCCTGGCCGCATGAGAGTGCTTGGCCTTGGTCTCTTCCAGCTCTCGTACCCGAGAGCGTGCGTGTTGTATGCGATGCCAGGCCATTTGCAACACCTTGGCAGAAGCATAGCCGGATCCCTCGTGCGGCTGGCCGGTAGAAACTTGTGTGAGGTAGTTGATTTGTTCCGAGAGCTTCGACTCAACGCTGGACAGGCTTTTTAGAAATTGCTGAGACTGCGTCTCGGCACTCTTCTGCGACGACTTTTCCTTGCCGAGCTCTTGCAGCGCTTGCCCTTTGAGGTGGTCAAGTTGTCAGTTGACAAATAATTGACAAGAGTAAATGCCGCCTACCTGCGCTCTGCATGCAAAGTATAATATCCTTTTCAATCTCGTCCAGTGCATGTATCTTATCCAGGGGATTCATGTTTTGAGGTGAACGCTTATTTTGTTTCTATAGCTTCGATCTTTCAGAGCAAATGAGGCGAATTTTCGCTTCGACTTTTGTTGGCTTGTGTTTTGGCCATTCACCAAATCGTGCAGCATTTGAGGCGCGTTGCCAGGGCTGGCGAAAGGCGTTTGCCATTCAATTTACATTTACTTTTATCGAAGCTATCGATATATTGGCGCGATGATGGGTTATTTCAAATGTTCAAATTACATTCAACATTGCAAAATTTTCAGTATTATTGTTTATTAGTTACATTTATTCTATTTAATAATTTATTTATCGGTGCAATTATTTAATTTCTAATTCCAAACCATGCGAACTTAAAATACTGTTTGGGCAACAAGAAACAATTCTCATACAACTCCACTGACTCTGGATTTATGTGCCAAATCATAAAGCCACCTCCACAATCGATTTGTCTGTGCAACGCAAACTGTAACCGATCTGCAAAATGTGACTTGCACTGGCGACACTCGAGCATATGATCCTTTGTATCTGCTTTGAGAAATCGCCGCACATTTCGTATCTCGTGCATGCCTTGAAATTCCCCAGCTACATTTGTTAGTATGAGAAATGTGGGCGTAGTGTTGACATCCTCGCTCCTGAGAAGGTATGGCACCGCATAGAGCTCCTTGGTGCTAGCGCAGACACGCAAGCAATAGAGATTAACCTTCAGGGAGGCTGGAAAGTGGCCAAAGCGTTGGCCGTGATAGCTTCTGAAGCTCTTTGAGAGCAGCTCAAGGTCTACACATGTCGTGTTTTTGGTATTCGGATAACGTGCATCGCATTTTACACGGTATTGTAATGGGATCTGTTGTTGTCCTTGCAATTGGCGCTTTACATTCACTTTTAAGCGTTTTATAGTGCATGCCTCAAATGGAACGCGTTGCTGCACTAGCACAAAGCTGCTAATCTTCTCCAGCAATATTGAGAACACCATGTCCACTGTCTCCTTTATATCCAGATGATGATCTATTTTTACAGGAGTGCTTTCGTAGTACATGTGCTGCTTGGACACATTCACATAGAACCCAACTGTCAACTCTAGCCGGCTGGCCTCATAAATCAGGAAACGCAGTAGCTGTGGTATGGCTTCTATGCCTGCCTGCAATAAAAACTCATTGGTGCGATCCAATGCACTCTCATCACACAGAAAAAATGTTTCAATACGCTCCCGTTCGATGCGCTTGAGCAGTTTCTTCTCGTCCAAGCCCAAGTTTATGTGCTGATCATCTTGGTTCCCCAACCAATGATGGCTGTAAGGCTCATTTGCTCCGACGAGACTGTGACAGGTCGGGCAGTTGATAATCTGGTTGTTGATCTTACGCTGGTGACGAAAGGTCCTCGTGTTTTCTGTCATCTCAAAGATGAAGCGCGATTGACTGAGACGTGACATTGTGAATGTTGCAGTTTGACTGTAGCCCGTTGTAGTGTGAAGTTGAGTTATATACAATCATAATGGATAGTGGTCCAGCTAGATTAAAATATTCAAGAGTACCTGTTAAGCCCCATAAACCCCTCTTACCTGCCTGACCCTGCAACAGCTGCGTTTAAGTTTGGACTACCTGTCGAAAATGTGTTTATAATCACGACCCAAATTAATTTCAAGACTACAAACAGCTCGAAGTGTGAATCGTTTGTTCTTCTAATAATAATCCATGATCATAAATTTCTACCCTATTATGTATGTACATTTCCATATATATATATATATCCGCGGTATATAAAGAGTATATAAAGTATACCTGATCTGTGTGTGCTCCGATTGTTTGGTTTGAATAACTAGACTCAATTGTCAAACTTGTAGACTTCAATATTAAAATGGATACTATACAGTCACCGGATAAACCTTCCCTTGAAGCTGATATTGCAACTGGTGGACTTCTAATAGGCATGTGGCTTATTGTGTCTCTCACGTGCTGCTGTGCTGTATTTTGGCCGGTCTTTGGATGCATTTTGGCCTATTTTAGCTGCAAGAAACATTGCGATTACAACTCAACCAAATTGAAAAATCCAAATAAAAAAGCTTCCGAATTGGATTGTTCCAGTAAAAGTTAGAGAAATTGGACCCTCGAACCATTTGTTTTCTGATAACTTCAATCAATCGGAATGTAATAAAAATCAGCTTTAAAGTGCGTGCACATTACGAATTATTTAACCATATTATCTAGTCAGTTCTCGTGAATATTAACATTTTATACTCTCTTGTGGAGGGAATTATATGTATATATTTGATGTATCTTAAGTCTTGATCAAGGGCCGAGTCGATAGAGCTGTGGTCGTCTGTCGGCCTGTCTGTGTCAATGTCAGGCCGAATCGTATAGATGACATGGGAATGATTTTGTTGAAAAGTAGAAATATAAATTAGTTACATTGGGTGTACTACTACAAATTTATTTTATTGACTCTCCAACGGTAAATAACCTAAGTTAATGCGCAGCTGTTCGTATATCAAAAACAATAATATCGTAGCTGGGGCCTTGCGCACGATTGTCGGAGCCAAACCACGATAAGGGCCCCAGTAGTCAAAACGCATCATATACTTTATGGCATGAAAAACCGAGGAAAATTGACCGGGGGGTGCATTCATCATTAAAGTCTTGAGAACATCAAATGGCTGCGTTATAATTGCATCGATAATTGATGAGATAAATGAACTCTTTAAATGCAAATACACGTCGTCATCCATCATAAATCGAGTGTGAAGCTCACTTTTGACCTGTTAAAGTGACGAGAATAGCAAATAGAGCACAAGTGCGGCAAATTCAGTTGAAGCCGAATACACACGTGATCGTAAACCGCAAGCTGACCGGTTGTACCAATGGCTGCTTTGAGAACCGCAGCGAAGCCTCCATTGTATAAGGCCATCCAGCCTTCCTCCTTGGGAATGCGAATCAGAGCATCGATAAAATGTTTGTAGCTGGGATCATTTCGCAAATATAATGTTGGACATGGCTTGAACATTTAACATACTTGCGCTTTCCATGATCGGCAGCTTGCATGTTGGTTTGCATGCGAACATTAATCACATCCAATGGTATACCAACAAGGGATCCAATAGATCCCGAAAGACTGGCCAATACAATTTTGCTTATTAAACCATTAGAAGAGTTGAATATTTCGAGGTCCTTGCCGCACTCATACAGAGAAAAACGCAGGCTTGTACATGTCATTTGACGAACGGCAGCCGCAGAGAAGCCATCATAGAAGCCTAAATACCCTACAAAGGGAGGGTAAAGAGGATGATTGGACAAGGGCCAAGCATCCTCATCGTCTCACCTCTTATTTTAATTACTTTTAGGGCCGTTTGTACCATTCCCTTCTTGGTCGTCTGCGTTTGCATATGCGTCTTGACTAAATCGAAAGGCGCCACTACGCAAGCTACACAACTGGATGCCACACCACCGGACCACCATCGTGGTCGTCGCAACTCCCGATCCTCAGTGTCAGCCAGTACCTTACAATGTGCGTATTGCTATGACTTAAATAAGACTTCCCACCAATGTGGCAAAAGCTTCAGCTTATATTCTCGAGTTAATGTAAAAAATATGTAAATCTTTGTACCTACTTTGGTGATCCGTACCGATGAATTATACATATCAGCTTGGCAAAATCAGTTTATCTTTCTTCTGGTAGATGCCACAACAATCTATGTCTATGTACATCTAGAGCTTAAATACGAATACTATCTGGGTATTCAATCTTCCGTGGGTCGTAGATAGTCGTTGTTTCTAGTCGTTCGTTATTTCTCCATTGATTACAAGATGAATATTGTTTTTCAGTTTTTGGAAAAAATTGTTGTTCAGACAAAGGCATTTGCTGTCAACGCCCCACAATAAATATTTTGATACTAATCTAAATTTTGGTCAATACGGTGTTTTCAACATTGAATTGTATTTCTGTTTCTCGGTGATTTACTTTTGACAAAATTCAACTGATCTGAACCAGTCTTACCTTAAACTTCGAGCGCTTACACAAAACTATGCCAAATCACCCGACGAAATTGCAACATCTGCAGCCAACTTTTGGGGTACTGCAAGGTTGGATCTAGCTTCCTACTATTCCAGTATTGGTTTCTTAATTCACTTGTCAACCTCAGATTGCAATTAAATTGCCCAGCTCAGTGTGGCAGCTAATGGCCGGAAGTTAAGAAACGTTACAGAACAGTGTAGTCTGTACCAGGTTGCTTTGAAGCAGAATTGTTGCAAAACATAGGCCCTGAACACCAGATAAGGACATCAAACTGGCGAACTCCTACACAGTGCTCAATGCCTCGGATACCAGCCGAAAGTGAGTAGCACATGTGAAAGTTTAACTTGGCCCGGAAACTTGCAACGTCTTCCTATTAAAGACTCCGTCCGCGCTGGTGGAGCGGTGGTGTAGCCGGCGCCTTGACGCAGTCTGTAGTGGCGCCCCTTGATCTGCTAGAGACACGGATGATGTTTCTCAAGAAAGATACAACCATGATTAAACTTACGAAAACAGCTATCCAAAGACACGGTGGGTGACTTATTGGGCATGGCTTGCATATATAATTGATTTTCTCGCCAATCGGATTTCCTTGCAGGATTCATATCTCTATATGATGGTCTCAGTGCTCAACTCCTACGGCAAATTACCTATACGACTATGCGATTTCACCTGTACGATTTGGGTAAACGGTACGTTGATGAAGAAGACTTTCTGCACAAACTGTGTGTAGCGAGTTTATCTGGCATGATGGCGGCTGTTGTCGGCATACCCTTCGAGTTGATTAACACTCGTATGCATGTGGATCGAGCGCTGAAAGTGAAATATAGGCGAAGCTATCGAAATGTCTTTGATGGTCTGTACAGGGTTTGGCGGGAGGAGGGCTTTACTGCGCTCTACACGGGAGGTTTTAGCTCATTTTTTCGCTCCACGCTTGTTACTATTGGCCAGAATGCGATGTACGATCAGGTCAGCTATTACCTTTGTTTTACCTTTGTTACAATATCGTAAGTAACTGTTATCTGCAGAGCAAAACTATGTATATGCGTTACTTTAAATTGTCAGATGATTGTAAGGTGCTGCACTTGTTAAGCTCCCTGACAGCAGCCATAATATGTGCTCCCTTAGTGCAGCCCATAGAGATTTACAAGACGATGCAAATGAGCAAAGGAAGTGGTCATTTGAATACCACCTCTGAGAAGTTAAGGTACATGATGCGCTTTGGTTTTAGAGGTCTATTTCGTGGCATTGCGCCGAGTCTGTTACGTATGATTCCGTATACAATTATTATGTTTCTTTTGTATGAGCAAATACGCTTAAATTTTGGTTATTATGCAGAAGACGACCTGAACTAAGTGTATATTTAAATAAACAAACTGAACACTAACATATATTGCTGTGCTGTAAAATGGTCTTGTGCAAATATTCAGAACGAGATGACGATCCAGCCCTCGGTTGTTTATGCTGCCCTAGAATATATGTACATACTTTATGAGCTTGTATTTTTCGGCCTCTTCCGGTCCAAGCTTCTTGTTTCAAATTACAACATGCACAATTATAAAAATTATATTTGTTTTTATATGATTTTCAGCAATTAGAAGGATTGTCTATCGGATATGCTCTAGCAATCCGAATGAGCACAATATTCATTATAAGACATATTCAGCCGATATGTCAGCACACGCCTCCATCAGATGCTGCTCATCTGTGGCGGGATACCCACACGTATCAATCAGCCCATCTACGAAAACCAATTGTTTTCACACTAAAAATTTGTTTTTTGCTGATGCGACCTAGGATATCTTAAGCTCTGCTTGATCGCGACACGCCGCACAAGTGCGAGTAAGTTTTGCATAGCTCGTAAAACCCTTTACTCTCTTGAATAATCTTTTGTACACTCTTCAGATCCAGCAGCTAGTGCAGCACAAAAATACAAATAAATGACAATCGACTTAATAATTTCAATTTTTGCCCAATCTCCTTCGTCGAACGCATCGCTAAGAGCAAACATCATGGGTAAGTACTCCAAAGTCCCAATTTACGTTGATAAATAGTTTTCTATAGTTACTAAGACGGGGTTTTGGGAAACTAGTCTAACAAGTACGAAAAACTAAACATGGCAAATACAGTGTTTTACTCCATACATTTAAAAAACATTTAGCTCCCGCCAAATCGAAATTTCGATATTTAAGTTGACTCGCCATCGATAGTTGGCAGCTCTCTTTCGCTCGAAGCGTTGACGCTAGTTAACAATCGAACATTCATCGTCAATTAGTATCGTTGCTGTAGGAATTTCGGCAAACTTGCCGGCATCGCGTTATTGGCAACTTTTAATTGTTTTTATTTAATAAAGTACGAAATAAAGTAAAGTTCCGCCGTCGGAATTGCAGTCCTGATAAGAAGGTTTATAAAACAGACACCAACCCAGAATTATTGCTTACTAAAGATATTCAACTTATTTTCACAAAGTGGCATCTTCACGTTTCCATAGCATTGTATTCTCGTAAGTTGGCAGCGCCTCGCTTAACGGCGCTTTACTGTATATATGGACATTTAAAACACAATTCATTTAAATTTGGTTCTCTTTAAATCCTTTTTTTTTTGTGAAAACCTTTAGAATGTTTCCCAGATTGCAGGTCAATATAGTCTTAGAATAAAACGTCTGTTTAATTCATTTATATATAATCAGTTACAATTTCTTAAAAACCAGCTAAACAAATTTCTTGATTTAAAAACAAAGGGAAGCCCTTAAGCCTTAAATCTTCAGGAGATATTCATTTGTAATTTGTGGAAGTAGGCATAGCTTGCGGACATTGCAGCAATCAAATATTTACCTTTACTCTGTTTGGGATATAAAAGGAAATATTCCCTCAGTCAAAAGTACTTCATTTAAACATAGTTATTACAGGGTATAAACTTAAATCAAAAGCTTGCAACAGCTACCCACTCAGGTGAAATCACCAGTTACCCTCTTCTAACTCTCTTACGGCATATAAAACGGCTGCACACACGAGGCAAGAACGTTAACTTCATTAGGCTTCGACAAGAGTAACCTGTTAGCAGGCTGCCAGTCAGTCTTTTGTTTCCGCTCGGTTACCGGAAGCTGCGTCAAATATCTTAACTGCCAAAACAAGAAGCTTCGCGTGTAATTCAATTGCCTTTCGGCTTACAGAATTGTCTAACCACATCATATGTGACATATGTATGTTCTGTCTGATGTTTTTTTTCGTCAATTTTATTATTGCATTTTCAATTTCAATTTTCAGCCTCAGCTGCGCGTCATGGACTCATGAGAACATTGATGCGGCATGAAAGCCCAAAAGCCCAAAAACCACATTAACAATTTAATGAGCGCTCAAGGAGCTGCTTGTCACTTGGCTAGTCAATGACTATGCAATTTTTATTTGCCCTTCATTCACGTGAATTGGTATAATCATCTGAGTCAGTCAGTTTATTAATTTTTCAATCGCCAATTTGTTATTTACAAAAGCAATGTTAAAGTTGCATGTGTTAGACTTATTTTCTCAGCTGAGTAAAGCAAATCCCTTTACATTTTTAAAAGTTAGCGTATAAAAAGTGCTGTGTGTTGACATTTCGATTAGCAAAAAAAAAAAATTAAATAAAAGAAAATGTTCATGGATAGATACCCAACAGAAATCACAAATGAAATGTTTCAACTGCTCCCCTACTGACAGCATCCAATTTAACTTGATTAACGCAATCATGTGCATAATTTGGCCTGGCTGGAGACGAGCTCTGATTTAATATTGACGTGGCCAAATGTTTTCTTAAAGCTGTAACCTTATCGGTTTAACATTAGGCCAACACCATTTCCACGCCCACTTTGCCTTTTGTTGTGGCCCACAAAGCCAACAAACAAAACCCAATTTACATAGAATAGCTGGCGATTATCGCATCAGTCCGCCTTATGGCTGCGGCAAAGTGCGCCTGCAGCATTTTAAATATGCGCCAACGTTGTGCCTCGTTTCGTTGCATCTTCAGCTGTGCTGCATGCACTTCCGGCTAGCGATGGGCTTCCTCCCATTATACGATACTAAAATGACCCATTTTCATTTTTTCTTAAGAAAATGTATATGTTTCTCTAACGACACGAGCGATTACAAAATAATTAAAAATTATACATCTTACTTACTGCATAGTTCCAAAGTAAATCCCAAGTTCTCGTGACACGAAAGAACGCAGGACAAACTTTCAGCTATAGCTTCGCAAGACCTTTCTTTGAGAAGCAATGGCTAACTTATATATGCACGGAAAAGGGACAAAGAACTATAATCTAGTCGGGAGTGCCCGACTAGGAGATACTTTAAATCTATCGCTGAACTGCTGTAATAATCTAGTTAACTCAACTTTTTCCAGTCTGTAGGTATTATAGTTTATTTACGTATATACTTGATAAGGGTCTGAGAAGTAATTTTTCGACTGTTAAGTACATTGGCATAAGGCTATAATACCCCTTTAAACCGTTTTCGATGAGTTCAGGGTATAAAAAAAAGGATGAAATTTGTATGCACTACCCTTGCATAATATTGACGAAGCTGATGCTTAAAGTTTACCCTCGTATCCTGCTGCCACGCTGCCTGCAATGTGCACTTGAACCTTCAATCTGCCGCCCTGATCCCGGGCGTTAACTTAGTTGTTATTATACCCGCGGCTGGTCGGTTTACACCAGCCCATAAACGTCTTGTAATATAATAATGTTAAACAAGTTTATATTTTGGGCTGAAGTAAAATTTAATGCAAACGAGCTAAAATAGTTATTATAGATAGAATATCTTTGACATATTCGTGTTATTCAGAGTTGCGGCTGTCTTATAGTGCCGCATTGCTGTGATAATTCAGCCGAAATATCTTTTGGCGAAATCATCTAAAGCTTATCGCTTACAAATTCTCTTTAAGCTGGCATAAGCCCAAACACATGTCGCCTCCCATTTAAGCGGCAGGTAAGAGCCAAGAAATGCGTCGCTTGCATTTTAAATGCAATTCAATTTCCTTTTGCCTGGCATCGTCCTTGGTCCTGTAGCTAACCAACAGCCACGTTTTCACGTCGCTTGGGTACATTCGTTATTGATTGTTACCCTTAATTTTCCCAACAGTTTTAGAACATCCGCATCGCAGCCAAGTTGGCGTTACAATTTGACATCTGTTTAATTTACAATTGTTACGAGCAGGTTTTTTTCGGATACCTCCATCTTGGTAGGGCTTTTTCCGAGTAACAGACCTATCTTGTAAGGTTTGTAATTTAAATATAATTGCGATTCTTGTTAAGCGTAGCTCACATCGAACAACATTGATTAAACCAAATTGGAGTATATGCAATAAAACCCGAGATTCGTAATAAATGGCAGCGAGTTCTGAGAGTCTGTATTTGCGATTCTTGATTCTGTATTTAGCTGTTGGCTATATGTTCAATTATACGTATTTAAAGCCCGGCGTTGCATGGGCCGCAATTTTTGACATCACTTTTCCACCTACCTCTCACTCGTTAAAGTTGAACTTTATCGTTGGTCCGTACAACCTTGATCCCTTTATCCATCCAGGGAAGAGGTGGAATTTAGACAATGTGTTTTCAATAAATTTTTACATATATCCTGGATAATGCGTTATAAAGTGGATTTGTCTAGTTCTATTATAGCTTAGTACAAATTCGTTATTCGAGCAACTATTTAAACAGCATTGAATTGTTAATATTTCCCATTGTTCTGCTTCCGCGTGAATTTGCTAGTTGCATTGTGTAAGACGAAAATGCGTTGCCTTGATATTGATAGTTCTTGTTGTTTGCGCTGTCAGGTGAAAGGTAATTGAAGTTTCTCTACAACTTTTGCAATCAAACAAACCGACAGCTGCTCGCTTTATCTGTCATCAGCGACCGCCTACGGCTCTGTTTGGGACTTTGATGTATATGCCATGAGTTTTTCTTAATGACCCGACCCAATTGGTAGCCCACACACCGGTTGCTCTAAATGTGAGTGTGTGTCAGATTTGAGAAAAGTTTTGGTGAAACTTTCTTTCTATCTGCAACACCAACAGTTGTTCACAGTTGGGCGGTTTGTTTACACTCGTTCAGTTGGCCGCAAATTATTTGCATGTGGAAAGCCCAACTGCCGTTCTGGAAAATTTCGTCGATTAATCTTGCGAAACTGTGTGGGATTTGTCTTTGCTGTGCGGGCGGTATTTCTGTTTGCTTTCAGTTTGAAAATATCAATTTTGCACTTACAAGATTTTATAGTTGCCCGTTTTTTGTGTGACCCTCAGTTTGTTTAGCTTGTTGGTTTGGCCGAGGGCCAACTGTGGGCGTGGCAAAGAACTTGAGTGGCAAACACAAGGCTCACCTAGAGTTGCGTAACCCATGAGTGAACGACAGAAATCACGGTTAAGAAAACTGAATATATATTTATATCCATAAATTACATATTTTAAATATGAAAATTTGAATACTATAATACAGATTTCTTTTTTGAGTACTCAAATCCGGGCAGCAAACCAAAAAGTGCTTCCCTCCACAATCTGAAACAGCTTCCTGACCTTAGGTTCGGCTCGGGTCTAAATTTAGCTATACATTTTTTTAAAATATTTCTAAATTTAGGGAAAATTAAGTAGAAACTTATTAACATGGTGCTATCGATCTATATCTTTATCGGGTGTAAATGTTATAAGGATAAGGGTTTTATGCTGTTATCTGCTGCGCATCTCTGTGAATAGTTCTAGGGACAGTCGCTTCCCAAGAATTTCAATCAGCTTTGACCACGTGTATGTTTACATTGCCCTCACAAATATGAGCTGCAGTCTCTCTTGCTTATCAGGTGATTAGTCCTATCAGCGCTGGCGGCCATGTTGGCAAGTTCAATAAAGACAGGATCAAAACGAGTATGTGCCTGCCTCTCGGTGTGTGTGTATGTGTGTGCGTGCTGGTGAGTGTGTGTGGCTTTTGTTTACGCCTTTGGCATTGTAAACATAAATAAAAGAAAAAAGAACCTGGCCAAGAGCAGTCGTGGGCT